CCCACAAAATTAGTTACAAAATTATAAGTCCTTTCTCTAATAGGTCTCTTAGACTAACACAAACTAGCAAGTCCGGTCGCCACATGCAATAAAAAATCCTGGCGGGCGAGTTGAAATTCAGTACTAGAGAGGTTTTCTGGCTGGCGATCAATATTTTAGATCTCATTACTGTTTATATTTTGCGCCGCTGATGTTCAAATTTAACGCCGTGGGCAAGAGAGTATTCCCACCTTGGGGTTGGCAATAGGAGAAGACTTCTCGAGCTGTGATTGGCTCTTGGTAACATAAGTCTGATGCTATTGGCCAAAGTATGAAGGTTTGGAGCTTCTCAGTCGCTGGAGACGGGAGTTTGTTGACGGTCTTTCAGCTGAGAGTGAGTGTCTGATTTTCGAGTGATAAATTACTCATAATATTGAAGTTTATAACTGATGACACTTGCTAATGATAGTGTATATAGAGTGAAGAGGTTGTTATAGCTATATAAACTATAAATCAATTACTGCCATGATTATATACATGGAAATAAGCTAGTGTTTACAGCGATTCATAGCCCTAACAAACAAGCCATAAAGCTTTAAAATATACATACAAGCATATATCCATACATATATAATATACATTCATGTTTCCATACATATTAGGCCATATACTGAACTTATTAACCCAAGGCCTCACGAGACCCTTATCCTGCCCTGCACACACACACTTGTACCCAAAATCCGTGAACATTCTAAATTAAACAAATATATAAGTTCTACAAATCCTACGCAAACACTAAACAATTACCCGGGTAAATGCTCCTAACACTGATTAAGTAAAGTAGAATATAATTTTCAGTTTAGTATCGTAGCACAAACAGTGAATTATAGACATTTCTTGCTGGACGTGTGACAGGGACCCACTGTATGGGAGTGGTGTGAGAGCGGGTGGTGATAGAACTGGAACACTGACCTGTGGTAATATGTATCAGGCATTCTTATCTGAACACTGCAAAAAAAAATACATATTTCTTGTCTTACAACAGATATCGAAGCAAGTAAAGAATATTAACTTGGTGTTGACGTTGTTCCCATGAATAACACTACTGCCTGTATCATCATTGGGTATGACTTTGCTTGGGAGATTGGTATCCCCGCATCCCCTGAGCAACGCTCTTGTGCATTATGCAGAAGACCCGACAGCAGCACCCTTATCCACTACCTCCTAAAATGTCCCCACACACAACGCCTGCTGGACCACCACTCCACGACCCCCTGACGGAGACACGATGATCCTCCCCATACTGGCCAGATATTATGTAAATAACATTGATTATGTGTTAAAGGAATATCCTTCCTTCCTTAGGCTTTAGTAAGCCCCTTTATAATATTTATACTGTATATACTTGTCACACTTGCCAGATGCTTCTGGTGTCATTGTACAGGGGTACCTAGTGACAGCACTAGGATCCCGCTTCCTCTATCAAGGAATAAACAATTGAAATTGAATTGAATTGAGTAACACTAATGGTACGAGGCTCGTCTAGTGTCTGTGGCATTACTGTACTACACTCAGCCTTAACTACACTGTATAGAATTAATGTAACAGAAGAGGGGAACATTTATAGTCCAAATAGTTTATCTAACAAAGTAAGTATTTTTACAATTGGCAGCTGACCAGTTTAGGGCGTGAGGTAGCAACATTGTGTCCCCGGCCCCGTGCTTATGTAAACGCACTTTCTCACGCTACATTTTACATACAGCAACAAACACCTACAATATGGATTTTACATCTCAATTCGAAGACGATATTTTATTCTCATTAGTGGGAGGAATAGGAGACATAAAGCTGCGTAAAGGATTAGTCTCTGCAGTCTTATTGCACTTATAGGCAATACAGATGGCCGTCGACCAATCAGTATGTCGGTATTGCTAGAGAAAAACAAAAACAAAGATGAGTCATGGTATGTGATGTGCACAGTTCGGTCAACACACCATGAAGGCTTGAGGCATGCTGAGATTACCCCCTTGGAACAAAAGATTACATTATGTTTGATTAGATTATTTATCGAACTGTCCATGCCCAGAACCTTTTCAGTGTGGTGCGATTTCGGTTACCGGGGACGAGTTGCCTACACTGCCAGTTGTTGTCTTGGCTGGCAGGAGACAGCCAACTTGACCACGGTTGTCTGTATGATAAACGACACGACCTTCACTGACCGCTCCAGGAGGTCCGATAGTCTGTATAATGTGCATTAAGTTTACACACACACTGGTTCACTTTGCTGACGATAACTTTTGTTGTCAAGGAGCCTCCAGGCCTTGAAAAGTTGTGTTTAAGAGGTGGAAGAGATTCTTTATGAAGTCTTGTGAGTTGTAAGGCAGCGTAGCTCTATGTAAGCAAAGTGAGCAATACTTCCCAATAGTGTGTAACGGAGAATGACCGACCAACAAGTGGCAATGAGGATGAAGTAAAGTTAGCGGGTTTTTAAGGGTTAACCTAAAGGAAAAGGTATCAGGGTCCAAAAGATTCCTATATACTGCTTGTGAAGATCATACTGAGGCGCCGAAGCAACAGTGAACACTACAACAGTTACAGAGATATATTCCCACTCCCGAGATGACAACAGTTCAGACGCACACTCTCTGGATGTATATTTATTGAGTCATAAATAAAAACCTTGGGTGCACCAGGAGCCTCTCAGAGAACCTTCAGTAAATTGTCATAAACAACCTTAATATTCTAGCACCTATAGCTCAACAAAAGTGGTCACAGGGAGAACTTGGCGTAGATCGATCCTCACCACCCCATACCTACCACAAAATGTAAAAAAAAACACGGTACAAAATATATATATGCACACCAGAACATACGCATCTGCGCCAGAGTAATCTCCAACATTCACTCTTAACTCGCACCCCAGGTAATCATTTAGGACAAGGTGTAGTTGCGTCGTATTCTCATTGAACCCCATTGTTTATCTTTGAATATTTGTTAATGCTCTCTCAACTTTAACTAGGCCGTCATACCACCACCTGATATTCAATACACTGTGCCTTAACTGTGTATTAGGGTATATTACACCTATGCTATACTACAAGGCAGCCTCATACCGACTCTACATGCTACGACGACTCGGGGCACTTGGGGCACCCATGCCAGAGCTGAGGACCATCTACAACGCCTTTATTCTCCCCAAATTAACGTATGCGTCACCAGCCTGGTCGTCTTCTCTCAACTCTACCCAACAACGTCAGCTAGAGAAGGTACAGAAGAGAGCCTACAGAATCATGCTCGGCGCAGGCTACTTGGGCTACAACAACACTCTCTCCACCCTGGGAATGCCATCCCACAGTGACCACCACCACGCACTAGCAACGTTTGGCAGTGGACTACTGCACCTTCCTCGTCATCTCCACCTACTGCCACCGGCAGTCCCCCGCCCACCTCGCGCAGTCCTCCACTACAGCGAAATTCAGTCCATAACAGCCCGCACCGATAGATATAAGAACAGCACCATCCCATCTATTGTTAAAATAATAAACAACTCCTGATTTATGTACTGTACAGCCCTGTAAATGTATTGAATGTATATCATTATGTCTAAGTCACATGTAAGCTTGTATATTTTCATCCACCGGCTGCAACTCGATTAATAAACCGTTTATTATTATTATTATTATTATAATTATTATTATTATTATTATTATTATTATTATTATTATTATTATTATTATTACTATTATTATTATTATTATTATTATTACACCTGTACTGTAACATTCATCAGAGGAATTGACTCTTAACCCCTTCACTATGGGGACGCCAGAAAAGACAGTTGTTAAATGAACGGCCCAAACCAGACTTGTTTATACATTCTGAGAAACTTTAAGGCAAGAATTACGGACAACCACAGTATGTTTGTTTAACGAGATGACGCAAGATAGGAAGGAGGGCAACTTAAAGGAGAAGTCCTCATATGACGGTCGCGCTCTGAGCTTGGGCCTCGGCACACACTACACAGGGAAGCGGGATGTGTCGCTCACCTTCAGGTTTATTGACTACTGATGATGCTCATATGTCACTACTGCCGCTACTAATGCCATTGTGTCATGCAACCTCCCGATTCGGTTGTTACCCTGAACTTGATACTGTACTAATTTTATCACACCATTCCTGGTCATGTCCGCACCCCTCCGCCTCCCCTTACACCAAGTCTAGTCATGTCCCGCCTCCCCCTTACACCTAGTCTAGTCATGTCTCCCCTCCCCCTTACACCTAGCCTAGTCATGTCCCGCCTCCCCCTTACACCTAGTCTAGTCATGTCTCCCCTCCCCCTTACACCTAGCCTAGTCCTATTGTTTCACTGATGCATGATGGCTTGGAGCCTAGGATGAGGGGTGATGGAGCTAGTGATGAGGATGAGGGAGGTAGTGATGAGGGGTGAGGGAGGTAGTGATGAGGGGTGAGGGAGGTAGTGATGAGGGGTGAGGGAGGTAGTGATGAGGGGTGAGGGAGGTCATGATGAGGGGTGAGGGAGGTAATGATGAGGGGTGAGGGAGGTAATGATGAGGTGTGAGGGAGGTAGTGATGAGGGGTGAGGGAGGTAATGATGAGGGGTGAGGGAGCTAGTGATGAGGGGTGAGGGAGGTAGTGATGAGGGGTGAGGGAGGTAGTGATGAGGGGTGAGGGAGGTAATGATGAGGGGTGAGGGAGCTAGTGATGAGGGGTGAGGGAGGTAATGATGAGGGGTGTATAGCTCAGGTGTGTAACAATGACATACGTGCAGTTTGAGAAAGTACAGAATCACTACGGCTATCTTCCCGTCATTACAGACCATGGTTATAGTAACTATTTAAACCAAAGTTACGAGTATCATTACATTATAAAATACAGATAATATAGTTTGATATTGAAAGTAGAACGCCACTTCCCCTACGGACATGTATAAATTGAGTGACACCAAAACGTAGCTATTTCAGTGTTGACGATAACAGTTAACGGGTTTATAAATATCTTACCTCTTGGTTCTCCTTGATGACGATAAATGGCTCAGCCGAGTCACTGATCTGGTTCACTAGCCTTTTATCAGCCATTTTTTACGAGTCACTACTAAATGCTGTTGGTACGTGTGGTTACGCTCACTGCAAGGATATTTCTATGGTCTTAATATGTCTTTTTTATCTTCTGTGGTTATGCTTCCGTCACACTTGCTTGCAGCCGCTACTTGCGTCAACAACTGACCGAACGCATGGTGCAGTAATCGATGGCGGCTCAACCAGGGTCCAGCTGAGAGTGATCGGCAGACGGTGCGACGCGGGTGTTGTCAACCTGGCGGCCTGTGGCTTACTGCCAGACTGCCAGTGCCAGACCTCAGCTGACTGGCCGTCGTTTCACACAACACGACTCCCTCTGACTCAGCTGCTGCCCTCAGGGTGCCACGCCGGTTATAACTGGTTCTTGTTCGCCTCACAGGTGATGACGACGGTTTCCCTGTATTCTCCAGTCAAAGTTGGTGATCCCTTATGGCGTTGTTTTGTGAATAGTCGCACAAAGATGTTAAGACCGACGGAGTGGCCCTGTAGCGCCGTCCCCTACACCTTGTGTGGCCAAGGAGGGAGTGGCCCTGTGACACCGTTTCCTACAAATTGTGTGGCCAGGGAGGGAGTGGCCCTGTGGCGCAGTCCCCTATACCTTGTGTGGCCAGTGAGGGAGTGGCCCTGTAGCGCCGTCCTCTACACTTTGTGTGGCCAGGGGAGTGGCCCTGTAGGCCGTCCCCTACACCCTGTGTGGCCAGGGAAAAGGTGGCCCTGTAGCGCCGTCCCCTACACCTTGTGTGGCCAGGGAAGGAGTGGCCCTGTGGTGCCGTTTGTGTGGCCAGGGAAGGAGTGGCTCTGTGTCCCCTACACCCTGTGTGAAGGTGTGGCCCTGTAGCGCCGTCCCCTACACCCTGTGTGGCCAGGGGAAGGAGTGGCCTTGTGCCGTCCCCTACACCTTGTGTGGCCAGGAAGGAGTGGCCTGTGCCGTCCCCTACACCTGTGTGGCCAGGGAAGGAGTGGCCCTGTAACGCCGTCCCCTACACCTTGTGTGTGGCCAGGGAAGAAGTGGCCCTGTAGCGCCGTCCCCTACACCTTGTGTGGCCAGGGAAGGAGTGTCCCCTTGTGGAGAAGGGGAGTGGCCCTGTAGCGCCGTCCCTACACACCTTGTGTGGCCAGGGAAGGAGGTGGACACGCCGTCCCCTACACCTTGTGTGGCCAGGAAGGAGTGGCCCCAGCGCCGTCCCTACACCTTGTGTGGCCAGGAAGGAGGGGTGGCACCTGTGTGGCCCTGTCCCCTACACCTTGTGTGGCCAGGAAGGAGTGGCCCTGTAGTCCCCACACCTTGTGTTTGGCCCTGTAGCGCCGTCCCTACACCTTGTGTGCCAGGAAGGAGTGGCCCTGTAGCGCCGTCCCCTACACCTTGTGTGGCCAGGGAAGGAGTGGCCCTGTAGCGCCGTCCCCACCTTGTGTGGCCAGGGAAGGAGTGGCCCTGTAGCGCCGTCCCCTACACCTTGTGTGGCCAGGAAGGAGTGGCCCTGTGCCGTCCCCTACACCCAGGAGTGGCCCTGTAGCGCCGTCCCCTACACCTTGTGTGGCCAGGGAAGGAGTGGCCCTGTAGCGCCGTCCCCTACACCTGTGTGGCCAGGGAAGAGTGGCCCTGTGTCCCCACACCTGTGTGGCCAGTGAAGGAGTGGCCCTGTAGCGCCGTCTCCTACACCTTGTGTGGCCAGGGAAGGAGTGGCCCTGTAGCGCCGTGCCCTACACCTTGTGTGGCCAGGGAAGGAGTGGCCCTGTAGCGCCGTCCCCTACACCTTGTGTGGCCAGGGAAGGAGTGGCCTGTAGCGCCGTGCCCTACACCTTGTGTGGCCAGGGAAGGAGTGGCCCTGTAGCGCCGTCCCCTACACCTTGTGTGGCCAGGGAAGGAGTGGCCCTGTAGCGCCGTGCCCTACACCTTGTGTGGCCAGGGAAGGAGTGGCCCTGTAGCGCCGTCCCCTACACCTTGTGTGGCCAGGGAAGGAGTGGGCCTGGGGCGCAGTCCCCCACACTGAACTAGGCAGTATACAGTACAGGGTGTCTCATGGGTCACACAACTTAATACAATTAATGTTATCTTTTTCTCTGGCAGGTGAACCAACCACTGGATGACGAGCAGCAGCTGACTGGCCACTGAGGTCTCCACACCTTCCACTGGAGTCTGATGCTTACCAAGAGTGTCAAACAGTCAACACTGATGATGGTGTGCCCGGGGAGATGCTTGGCAGTGTGTTCCTAAGTCTGGTGTGTGAGTTTCAAAGGAGCCACTCTCCCTTCTCCCTAGTCATCCGTAGTTCAGCTCTGTTACAGTGGTACTCACTCACTCACTCACTCACTCATTCACTCAGTCACGCATTCATTCAATCACTCACTCACTCCCTCACTCACTCCGTCAGTCACGCATTCATTCAATCACTCACTCACTCACTCACTCAGTCACGCATTCATTCAATCACTCACTCACTCACTCACTCACTCACTCACTCAGCCTAGTTACAGTTGCGTGTACAAAAGTTATCACACAATCCTCCTCGCTGGGGTACAACAGAGATTAGAACTCGAGGTGAAGAGTCACAAAGATTCACGAGATAAACTGTGATCAGGCTAGAGATAATACCTGTAATTTATATCAAGCTAATTTGGGACACTGACTGACCGACTGACCGAAAGATTACTTCCCCAGCCAGCCGGTCCAGTTGTCTATAGCTGTTAGGGTTTATAGGGACCTTCCACACACTATGGGATCGTCTTGGTTACCCTTCTTTACTGTAGACTCAAACAAATTGAAAAATGACTATGCTCTCACGATATCCAGACCATAGTCCCTATCCTAGCCCCCCCTCACTAGCCCTAACCTAGTCCTTACCCAGCCCTCACCTAGTCCTCATCCTGCCCTTACTAGTCCTCACACCCGTCACTAGCCCTCACACCCTTCACCGGCCCTCACCAGCCCTCACTCAGTCCTCAACTAGTCCTCACACCCGTCTCGCGCTATTGCCTTAGGTGAGGCACTAGCTATTATGTGCCCTTGTTTATAAACTGTAAGCACATAAACACACACACGAGTTAAGATATACCACAAACAGTTATCACAAGTGATCGCGGGCCCTTCCTGCCCGGTGGCGAGTCCGGTGTTACAGTTTACCAAAGCGTGAAAGTTCAAACGCTCGTGCTTGGCTAGCGCGCAACCGCCGGAAGGCTGGCAGAGGCTGGCAGCGTACAGCGACATCATTTTCCAGCGTAAATAAAATGATTAATTAATGCCTTCCTAAAGAAACCATCGACATGGGACCAGGTTTGTTCCACTCTACGAATTTTTTGCGATTTTTCCACCAAGTTTGATAAAAAACGATTGTGCCGTTTCGGCTGCCCAGAACAGACACACACACAGACACACGCCTAGTCCTATAGTATATAAGATAATCATGGTCGCGGTTGTTATAATCATAGTCGTGGTTGTTATAATCATGGTCGTGGTTGTTATAATCATAGTCGTTGTTGTTATAATCATGGTCGTGGTTGTTATAATCATAGTCGTTGTTGTTATAATCATGGGCGTGGTTGTTATAATCATGGTCGTGGTTGTTATAATCATGGTCGTGGTTGTTATAATCATGGGCGTGGTTGTTATAATCATGGTCGTGGTTGTTATAATCATAGTCATGGTTGTTATAATCATGGTCGTGGTTGTTATAATCATAGTCGTGGTTGTTATAATCATAGTCGTGGTTGTTATAATCATGGTCGTGGTTGTTATAATCATAGTCGTGGTTGTTATAATCATAGTCGTTGTTGTTGTAATCATGGTCGTGGTTGTTATTGTAATGAGTGATTGTCAGACCAAACCTTACAGCCCAGAATTATGCCGCATATAACAGCAAGAGCACTGCAGACCTCGTGGTACCACCACATTCCGGGTTGACACACCTCAGGTCGACCCAAGGGACTTGACCTCGCCCGCTAATGACGTGAGCCGGGTGACCTACAACCGCACCTAGCCAAGACACCTGGCCAGGACCACACCTGCACACAGCTAGCCAGATCAAACCAGTTTAGTGTTAATTGTTAGAGGTCAGAAGCCGGCTGGGCCGACCCCATATAAAGGCCCTACAGTCCCGTCCACGGGCATTATCATTATCATTCTGATTCTGGTCATACTGATTCTCATTCTGGTTGCTGTCATCTCTCTCCCGTTCGGGTCGTCACTCGGTTCACTAAGCAGAGTCACGCACGTCCCCTCCCCAGGTCGGGAGGGAGACCTCCCGACCAGACCACGGCATCGCCAGCTAAGCAGATTCTCCCATAGGAGGCAGCCCAGCCAGCACTCACTGGGCCTACGTCAGGGTACACGTGAGTCTTGTCAGAACGTCCTAGGGTGAGTTACCTACTGTGGGAAGTGTATTCATTCAGGTGTGTCCGAGAGTCAGTGTCAAGTAACGTAAAGCATAATGTGTTAGTACCCCGATATAATAGTGATATTAATGTGTCCATGTCATTGAGTGAAGTAATAAATAGTTGTATCAAGAGGTGTTTAACAAGTTGTCCCTTTAAGAAGTGATATATGTGTATTGACATACGAGATAAGATAAGCGTAGTGACGCTGTGCAAATAACATCCAGGCCACGCTACCAAGTTTCCTATCTTTACATTCCTACTCTCTATACTTCCTACCTATATATGTAATTCTCTTCTTGTGAGATTCGTCTCATTACATTATAATCATAGTCGTGGTTGTTATAATCATAGTCGTGGTTGTTATAATCATGGTCGTGGTTGTTATAATCATGGCCGTGGCTGTTATAATCATGGCCGTGGTTGTTATAATCATGGTCGTGGTTGTTATAATCATGGCCGTGGTTGTTATAATCATGGTCGTGGTTGTTATAATCATAGTCGTGGTTGTTATAATCATAGTCGTGGTTGTTATAATCATGGTCGTGGTTGTTATATCGTCTGTTATAATCATTAAGTGGTTGTTATAATCATAGTCGTGGTTGTTATAATCATAGTCATTGATTTGTTATAATCATAGTCGTGGTTTGTTATAATCATAGTCGTGGTTGTTATAATCATGGTCGTGGTTGTTATAATCATAGTAGTGGTTGTTATAATCATAGTCGTGGTTGTTATAATCATAGTCGTGGTTGTTATAATCATAGTCGTGGTTGTTATAATCATAGTCGTGGTTGTTATAATCATAGTCGTGGTTGTTATAATCATGGTCGTGGTTGTTATAATCATAGTCGTGGTTGTTATAATCATAGTCGTGGTTGTTATAATCATTTGTTATAATCATAGTCGTGGTTGTTATTTAATCATAGTCGTGGTTGTTATAATCATAGTCGTGGTTGTTATAATCATAGTCGTGGTTGTTATAATCATGGTCGTGGTTGTTATAATCATAGTCGTGGTTATAATC